TCCTTCCTTCCTTCCTTCCATCCATCCATCCATCCTTCCTTCCTTCCATCCATCCATCCATCCTTCCATCCATCCATTCATTCTTCCATCCATCCATCCGTCCTTCCTTCCTTTGAGTGTGTGGGGTGTGTGTGTGTGTGTGTGTGTGTGTGTGTGTGTGTGTGTGTGTGTGTGTGTACAGACCTCAGATATCACAGCGCTGATGTTCTTGGCATGGATGAGTTCTGCTGCAGGAACAAACAGACTCTGACCTTTCATCTTCTCAAAGTCCTCTTTATACTTCACCTGCAGGAGGACACATCAGAGAGAGTGTGTGTGTGTGTGTGTGTGTGTGTGTGTGTGACTTCATTATACATGCAAACTGAACTCCAGCTGCACTTAGTGCTCCATCCTCAGGAGGACAGTTGAGTTAGTTTTGCAGAGCTTTAGTCTCTCAGAAACGTCGTCTTGTCGAGTTGTGCAGCATAAATTAAGAGCTCGTTGTTGTTTTTTGCTATATTGTCGTCTAAAACTTTTAAAACATGTAGAAATATCTGAGCATTCACACAAATTTAAAAAAAACTGCCAGAATGTGCTTAAAACAGCATACAAATGAATTAAAGTTTCTCTTATTGGTTGAAAACACATTGTATAATTTACACTGGTGACAATAATCAGAGCAGAACAGTGAAAATAACATAAAAACTAAACTGTTTATAATCTCTCTCTCTCTCTCTCTCTCGCTCTCTCGCTCTCTCTGTACGTCTCCATGGTAACAGCAGCATCTCTAAACTAACTTTAGGTCTGAGCAGAGCTGCTGCAGCAAGAGGATGAAGATGAAGAGGAAGAGAGAGTCACTACAGCCTTTAAACTTGTACAAAGTGCATGTGGTGATTGATGAAGATGTTTGACAGACAGACAGACAGAAGATGTGATTTTGTGAAGTGGGTTGACGAAAGCTGGTGAGTCACTGAGCCTCCCACACTCATTCAACACATACACACATATATATATATATATATATA